AGGCAGGGTCTGGGGGGGGCGGGGCTATGCAGGGGGGCAGCGCTGTGCGATCTACCTGTCAGTGGTGGACACCCAGGAGAAGCTAGGGGGTTATGAGATGGAGCTGAATTACATCCGGGTCCTAGGTCCGGGGGCTGGGACTGCTCTTCTCCCTGATTTTTGTTTTGCTGGAACCAGGCATCTCCTACAGCGCCCTCCCCATGTACCTGGGAGAGCTGGCTCCCAAGAACCTCAGGGGCACTCTGGGCACAATGACGGAGGTTTTTGTCATCGTGGGAGTCTTCCTAGCGCAGATCTTCAGCCTGCAGCCCGTCCTGGGCAATCCTACAGGTACCCAGGCGGTGCGCGCCAAGGTCAAAGGGGACGAGGGAGGGGCCTGGGGTCGTGTGGGGCCGTGGGCGCTGGGTCCAGTCGTTCGCTCAGCTGTGCCCATGTTATTGATGGATCAAGCCCGTTGAGGCCGAGAGGTGACCTCTGGGCTGCGCAGCGTGCAGCTTGGTGGACACAGGTGACCTTGACGAGGACAGTGGTGGTGAGTGATGGGGACAAACTGTGCTTGGGACTGGGAGGAGAGGACTGGGACAAGAGGCACACGCGCTCTTGGGAGTTCTGCTGGTGAAGGGGAGAGCTGGCGGGCCGCTGGATGGGGGAGTGAGCTGGAGGGGATGTTGTCCCCTGGGAAGAACAACAACGCACGTGGCTGCTCACTGGCCCAGAAGCGGGAAGGCGGTGGGACCAGCTGCACGGGGCTGGCCATGGTCACTGTCTGTGGGTGGGCATGGCCCTTGTAGACGTTTGCTGCTGGTTCCTTCCATCTTCTCAGTGGAAGAGGAGGCAGGGCCATTGCCTGAGAGTGGGTGGGAGGGGTGGGGATGGTGGGAAGTTTGGCGAGGGAGAGGGTGGGACCGCGTCTAGGCCGTGGGTGCAGTGGGGTCTGGTTTGGGGTTTTCATTTTACACATTTCCCAGTCACGCATTCCTTAGTGGGTGGACTTATGTCCTTGTATTCCCCACGGTGCCTTGAAGGGACTCAGAGCACAGGAGGTGCTCATTGCAAGGTCTTTAGTATCAGCGATTCCCAGGCTGCCCGAGCAGCTGAACACTCGTCACAGGACGGGCCCTGAGTGGAGGCCACGCTGGCCGGCGGCTGCCCAGAGCCACCTTGTACGCCTGGCTCGTGCAGTCTCTTGCAACCCTCACCACTCTTGGTGTGCTACTTTGTCATCATCATCACCATCATCATCACCATCATCATCACCATCATCATCGTATCATAATCTTTACTGATGAGAATCCCGTCGCTCAGGGTTACTTGAGTCTCAGCACTGCCCGCCTAACACAAACCTTCCGAAGGAGCTCATCTGCTGGGCCCATCCCCCCCGGCCCAGCCTCCAGGGAGGTAGACTTGGGTCTTTTCCAGCCATAAAATTAGAAACAACACCTGCCATGATTTCAAAAAAACCAGGCAAATAAGTCCGATCTCCAAAGAAGCTGTT